GTGTTTTCCAGTGGTTCATTGTGTTTTGATTGAGGACAATAATATCTCTGATGTTTAACAGTAGAACACCTACCTACCTCTAGTTGGAATGTTGAAATACCAACATAAGCTGTAAGTTTTTATCATTATTGAACAAGAATTCTTATGATTTGGCCATTTAGCCTGTGCATTTCAATCTGTCTATCCTTTTTCAGTGATTCAGTGTCTCCAAAATGAAGCTGAGCTCATAAATGCGGGCCACCTGGTTTTGGCTGGTCAAATGGATGCAAATGATTGCATTGAAGTATAATAAGCATTATGCCTCATTATGTTTACAGTCCACTGTGTGTGTCAGGTAAGAAGAACTCTCCCTAATAATGATATTGGTAAACTCCTGAAACTCAACTCTATATCATTGTTTTCAGGAAGAATGTGGGATCTTCCAGAGATATAAATATGCTTGGTTGACACAAAAAGCAATCAACAGAGGGACTAATACAATCAGTATTCCAATAGATGAGATGTCCAGTTTTAAGAAAAAAATGAAGAGACCAGTTATATGAAACATAATGAATATTCTCAATTTTCCTATCACAAACAGGGTGGACGAGCAACTTCTTTTCTGGAAATGTCAAACCTGTCCTTGGTAGTTGTACTTTTCAAATGAATGTCACAAAGATCAACTATTTATTTGTGTTGTATGTACCTACATGTTTGCTTCATAACTGGCACTTTAACCGAGGATGGCATTTTCAAACGGGACACCCTGTATTTTATTCCATAATCGGTTAAGGATTATCATAACGAATTCAAATTCAACGATACTGTGTTTGATAGGATTTCTACAAACGATTAGGAAGATATTCACATTTCCATATCCTCAATGAGCATATGAAAACTTCGAATGCAAATATCTTCGTAATCGTTTGAAATAACCCTATCCAATCCGGTACCGTTGAATTCGTTATAATAGTTCCTAATTCATTATGGAATAATATACATGGTGTTCTATATTGTTAAGGATATTTAGTAAATATCCCTGAAAAATATCTCATGGATATTTGTGAACAATATCTTATGGATATCCCTGAAAAATGTCTTATGGATATTTGTGAACAATATCTTATGGATATCCCTGAAAAATGTCTTATGGATGTCCCTGAAGGATATCCTATAGAAGTCCAACTCCTTCCACTCGGCACGTCCATTGGACGTCCATAAGATATACATCGGATATCACTGGATATTCTCTGGATATCCCAAATATCATTTCATGAAACCAACAACCTACCCAAAAAAATCTCTATATCCTTGGTGTGTAGTACGTAAACATATCGTGGCAGTTTGCGCTTCTGGTTATGGCAATATTATGCACATCCACGGTATATACCTATCTGCGCCACCTTCAAATATTTAAGGATTGTAGATCGTCCGTTTGTCAGAAGTTTCTGGCTAACACGAAAACTATGTTAATTTGGTTCAGTGTGTAAGCTCCAAGTTGGTTTCGCGAGTTAGTATATTATAATTTAGTATCAGATATTTTCGAGTGCCTCAAGTTATTCAAAGCCTGGCTATTGTATGGAAGATCATCTGGAATGTTTCATTACTGCGTTGAACGGAAGCAAACCCAATGATGAATAAGGCCATCTACCGAACCTTGCAGCAGTTGATAATCATATTTGAAATTAATATAGGGTAGGCGTAGCCGCAGTAGTATCAAGGTCGATGCATTGATTTCGGGAGGATGTAATTCAATGTTTCATATACGATATATTGTTTCTGCCTTGAAGAAGAAGATGAAAATTTTCGAAAGCTTGGCATAGCAATAAAGTATAATGGTTGTAGCCCGATTGACTGAACTCCCTGATATTTTTCATTAGGTATATCAAAAACATATATGTATATTATCACAAGAGGAAAACTTAAGAGGAAACACTTTTTCAGTTACTGAAGTTGCTTATTTCGAAAATATTTTCAACAATACTGGGTGTTTTATAAAAGCGGGGCAACTCGAAGACGAGTTTTTTCAAATGGAACACCCAGTATTGTTCATTCAAAATCTATTTCGCTCAAGTTCAGCTCTACATCGCTGTAAAAAAAATTGAATTTGGTTGCGGCGATGCCAAGTTATAATTAATACACCTATTTTTACTACTATTGAAGGGTTTTCGAAAATATTTTTGGCATACAGTCGGAGCAAGGTCTCACGTATACCAATCTAGTAATCTTGCGAGATAATCCCCTACAGGGTGCTAAAATTGACATTCTGAATATTGTGAGATTCAGACGACGATCATTAGAATTTTTCGAATGGAACACCTTGTATTTTTCATCACGGATTTATTTCGACATCATTCGACTTTTCATCGCAGAAGAGGAAATCGAAATCGATTTTGGCGTTTTCAAGTTATGAGTAATTTCTTTATTTTTACTACTATTTCGGGGTAATTTGTACGCCATGTTGGTTCCTTAATTCGATTTGAGTGTGGGAATATTGCTTGCCACATGACATTTGGGGATCTACATAGATCATTCAGGTATTTTTGTGATATGTGCATCGTCCAAATTTGGAATATTCCGTAATCTTGTTACTTATGATTTAAATAATATGTGAAACAAACAAACATGCCAAAAGCAACGCCTGTATTTGAAATAACTTCTACAATACAAACAATGAAGATGTGGATGGCGAAAATCAGGACAATTGTTTGAAATTTGGTAATTTTTATTGTCGTTATTCCCACAATACAAATCTCCATTTTACTTGAAGAAGGTAAACATAATGATTCAAACAATATGTCTCTACTACGCGGCTTTTGGGAGGGAATTCAGCAAAATGTCGAATCAATCCAAGATATATTTGATTGTGGCGATATTTGACAGGTCATTACACAAATATTTCGAAAAGAATTCAAACTTGGAGAGCAACGCAATATTTCCACAATACAAATGAATGAAAAATAACAAATTACCCCATAATAGTAGTAAAAATAAGGAAATCAAGCATAACTTGACAACGCCGCAACCGTTTTCGATTTTTTTCCAGCGATAAAAAGGCGAAAGATGTCGAAATGAATTTTTGAATGAAAATACAGGGTGTTCCATTCGAAAAATTCTGATGAATGTCACCTGAATCTTGCGAAATTCTGAATGCAAAATTGAGCACCCTATTCAAGAACATGTCGCAAAATTACTGGATTGGTATATGTTGGACCTTGCATCTACCGTATGCCAAAAATATTTTCAAAATTTGAATTAATGAATATACCATGCCCAATTCAACATGACTCTTCAATAATGATAAAAATAGATTTATCAATTATAACTTGACAACGCCGCAACCGATTTCAATTTTTTTTATAGCGATGTGAAGGTGAACCTCGCTGGAATTAATTCCGAATGAACAATACTGGGTGTTCCATTCAAAAAAACTCTTCTTCGAGTTGCCCTGCTTTTATAAAACACCCAGTAATGTTGAGAACAATTTTGAAATGCGCAACTTCAGTAACTGAAAGAGTTTTTTCTCCAATGTTTTTCTCTATAGGTTATGACTTTCGAGATATCGTAGAATTACGCACTAAATGAACACAGCTATGAGCCTTCAAAGAAATGACCAGAATTGATAAAACACCCTATATCTCGATAATGATACATGTAAGACCAAACATACAGTGTCATTCATAAAGTCGGCATCATATGGGAAAATCTTTCATTAATGACTTATTTTGAAATTCGAGTTGGACGTTAAGTTTTGCTTCAAAAAAGAAGAAAAATGGCCTACTCAATCGGGGTCACGTGACTTTCGCTACAAAAATAAGTGACATTTTCTTCAAATTGATCGCTGAAAGTAGGCTTATTTGTTCGAATATGAAAAGTTCATTTGAAAAAGTTATTTCTATTTGAATTCTACATATGTGACTCGGATTTTATCTTTCTATTACATTTTTTAGATTTCGATATTTTTTTAAAATTTTCGAGATTTCTATAATATTGAAAAAATTCTAAATTCGATAAGACTACTTCATACCAGTAGCTTCATCATGTTACTGACTTTCAATTACTAATTATCACTAATTATCGACAAAAATCTTCGCTTCAAAATTCTGTTATGATTGATGCAAACATAACATCCAAATTCTGTTATGTTCGAGTCAAGCATACAGAAACAAAATTCATTCGAATTTATTTTTTTAGTACTGAAAAGATCAGTTCAAATGAATCTCGTTTCTAAATTCTTGACGATATATCAACTTTGTATCAAACATAACAGGATTTGGAAGCGGGTATATTATCATTTTCTGAAGAAAATCATATTTCTGTCCATAATCAGTGATAATAAGTAATTGAAAGTAGGTAGCATAAAAAAGCTACTGGTATGAAGTAGTTTCGTGGAATTAACAATCCATTAAATATTACAGAAATTTCGAAAAATAAAAAAAAAAATCAAAATCTAAAAGTTGCAATAGAAAGATCCAATTCGAGGAGCATGTGTGAAATTGAAATAAAAACAACTTTTTCGAGTAAACTTTTTCGATATTCTAACAAATAAGCCCACTTTCAGCGATTAATTCGAAAAAATGTCACTTTTGACATGTAGCGAAAGTCACGTGAACCTGATTGAGTAGGCCATTTTTCATCTTCTTCGAAGCAAAACTCAACGTCCAACACAAATTCCAAAATAAGTCATTAATAAGAGTTTTTCCCATATGATGCCGACTTTATGAATGACACTGTATATGGTATATTCAGAACCACCTTGGTCACCTCTATCCACCATTGAAGTATTTCCGTTGCCCAACGGAACACCCTGTATAATAGCTTCCATCAGAAAATGCATAGTTTAGGGGATAAAGAGTAGAAACTGTGTAAAGTCCAAAACTTTCGGGGTTTTTTGTGTTCAACACTTTTCCAACAGCTTTCAGAGAGTTGCATACTTAAATATACACTACCCTGATCATAATTTTTTGCGAATTAAGCGATTTTTTGTGTTGATATTGACTGGCGTAACATTGGAATTTGTCGTAGGTACAATGCTTCCGGTGTGGGGTATCGTGATTCTGCTCCTGTTACAATGTGACGGCCTGTCATCAGACAATTGCGGTTTCAATTCCATGTGCACATGTACTCCGGGACAACACGATCAAGGAACAAGGACGATTCACGGAGTCAGTTGTATCTCGGTGCCTTTCTACAAGTTCCCCAGTGAGTATGCATTTTCCCTGATCGAGGTTGAGGCAATAACCTCAGTATGCATAGGACCGTCATAGTTTCGGAATAATGTCAAATATGAGTGGAGAAGTGGAAAAACGAGTTATATTACAAATATGAGTTTGTGAGAAAAATAAGTTTTTCTACATTCATGCAAAAAGCAGAACTTTATTGAACTATATTGTCGTGTATGTATTTATGACGACCTTTCCAAAATATTATACCCCCATTGAGGGTACTAATTCCATAGACTTAATTCACTTACTCGCTTGGCTTTGAGAGGGTTGTTGTTGAATTGTGGAACACAAAGAAATGAAGAGAGTATTTAAAAACATAAAAGAAACATGTTTATTCAATAAAACAATTATAAGTGTACTCACAATTTGGATACTGGGGGAACCATCTTCAATGGGCTCAGAGAACCTTTCCTGCTCTACGCCCGAAGTAGACTGACTTCCTATTTTTCATATTCAAACTACTCCAACCAATATTTCCCCCTCTGATGGTATATTAATTCATATATCTCAGCAGTTTTAGAATCAATGTATTTTACGTTCAATCTGAGTTCATACAGGTTATGGAAATATTAGTTGTAATAGGAAACTTTAGTTCCTGTCTAGGTATGCCTTTCATGCAATACATTGGATTTGAAATGAATGTTATTTTATGAAAATAATTATTTTCGAATTCAGATGAATGAAAAATTGATTAAGATATACTACATGACAATATTTAGTGGAAAAAGAAGTTCTTTATTGCACTCATCTGTCATTCTACTTCAACGTGCTGTCATCATGACAAACATTTTTTATATGGCAACTGTGGTTGTAGAAACGTCATATATTCATATTGAAAATTGCACCAATTGTTCATTCACTTTCAACATTGAGGGTAAAAATAAAGTTTGAGTTAAATTGTTCGTAACGTATTAGTTCTTGTTTCAATGCAAATCGATATTAATAATAAAGTATTCAAGTTGCGTTTTTTTTCCTACACCTATTGCCGCACTTCAATGAATCATTTTTTGCTTTTTGCATGAACGAAGAAAAAATGTTGTATGCAACTCGTGCAAATTTTTTTTATTGCACTCGACGTGTTGTCCAACTCGGCCTAACGGCCTCGTCAGACAATTTCACGTCGACTGCAATAAACATTCACTTTTTGCACTTGTTGCATAAATAACTATTTAGTGATGTTAGCTGGCATTTTTCAATGGAAGCTAGTTCAATAATTTGATTTATCTACAACTATAGAGTCATTCATACATTGCTAACTCGATTTTCAATATTTAATGACAGTCATTATTGTGATGCATGGAGTAATAAGAGTAATAATGACAGTAGGATGGCGTTATAATATGACATCCCATCGTCTTGTCAAATTCAACTAGGTAGGTATTCGTTCTACTAGTTCTACTAAAGCACACCACTATACTACTGTTTGTGAAATACACGCAAATCCAAAAGACTCACTTCACATGGTTCTCATAGATCAAATCACCTTAATTCTACGAATACACGAAAAAATGAGTAACCATAACCATAAAATAGGACTTGACACTTGACAGTTGCAGAATGGCTCACACTTATGTGCGGGCTGCTCTTCGAATTGATGAGTACAGACCAATCAGAACCATGGAACTTCGTTGTTGATAGCTAGCGTCTAGAGACAGGTACTACAATAAATCATCGATATTATGATTCATTTCAGAACTGAAAAGTGAAACGGTATACAGGGTGTTTAAAAAAACCTGACCCTCTCACTAGGGTAGGTAGAACACTGCAAAATGAGTTGGGTTCACTTAGTGAAAAAATTTCGTAACGGCATCCGTTATCAAGATACAAGGTCATGAAAAAAAAATTTCACATTTTCACATTTTTCAAGAGTATGTCGAAACTACTGGCAACATTGTGATGGAATTCTTTATGGATATTTCTTGAGATCTGACACATCGCATGCATTTGTTTTTTTATCTGACTCTCATAGAGGGCGCTAGTTACACTGTCCGCACCGAGTAGTTTTGAACTGAGCTGTCGTTCAAATCAATATTTCAAGCCGAGTGAAAATGAAGATATAATAGGGGAACATAGGTTTGTAGGCTATCTTGACCGCCATCTTGAATACCAGACTTTAGTCCAAATTTCGCTTTGGCAACAGCGGGGTCGAAATATCTTAAAATCATTGTTTCCCCAATGGTTACATGAAATGCTTCCTGCACTTTATAGAGATGGATTTCCTGCTTATGGGCCTACACTATAAAGAAGTTATCACTTCGAAATAGTACAATAACTACGATCTCTCACTCCTTTGTAAGTACGCAAGATGTTCCATGGAACATTATAGGGATTTTGTCTCGTGCGCTTCTAGAGATACAAAAATGTAGTTCATCAACATTAAATAATAAATATTGATTCGACTCTGTTCTTCTTTGATTCCTCATTCAAACGTCTCCTGATGAAAAGGAATATACAGTGATATGCATAATGTGGAAAATAATCCCAATCAGCACCAGACATCTTAAAGACGTACATTTTACGACTTACTTACGTCTTTACGTCCAGGGACGTATAAAGTACGTCTTTAAGATGTAAATCCATGTACATCTTAAAGACGTACACGAATTTACGTCTTTAAGACGTACATTTTAGGTCGTATCCACGTCGTTCCTCCCATGTCGTATAAAAGACGTCTTAAAGACGTACATTCCAGTACGTCAATTCGACTTATATAACAATAATGTAAGTTATTTTCTGAAGAAAAACAAAAAGTCATGTATTCACGTTTTTTATTTTCAATTGTTTAGTTTTTTCTTATTTTCAACAAAAGTGATGTTTTTGAATTTTTTCGTCCGACATTTTGGAGCCTTCGTGTTAGATTCTCGAATTTTTACAAAAAAATCATATTCTCCGACCCCAAAAGTCCCATAGTAATCAATTTTGAATAAAATCGGACTATAATCACAAAACTCGTCCGCCATTTTGAAGCCGACATCTTGGATTTTTCATTTTCGACAATAGGAATTATAATCTCTGATCCCGAAATCCTTCAGATGCCAATTTTGAATCAGATCAGACCATAATCAGAAAACCATATGCCACATTGGATTCACCATCTTGAATATTGAATTTTGATTCGAATCGGAACATAATCAATGAGAAAATCGTCCGCCATATTGGATCCGCCATTCTGTTTTTTCCATTCAATAATAATATCACAACGAATTGTCACCGGAATAATATTTACTTGCCAAATTTCAAATCAATCGGACGATTTAAAATGAGTCAAATTTAACTTGCACGTTTTGATTACAAACAGACACAAGGACATGTTGAACTAAGTAAAAGCTTGTTATGTGATATATAGAACGAACAGAGTAACAGAAGAAGTGAATATGGTATAATCACCGAAGTCAAGCAACAAAGAGCGCGGTTAGTACTTGAATGGGTGACCGCTTGTGTCTACCGTTTGATGAAGTCGTTTATTTCCCTTTTTTTTTGCTTGTCTGCACTTGTTGCTAACTTCAGTGCACAGGTGAAAATTAACTGAAACTATGTGATTTTTCCGTAATTTGAAAGATCAATTTGAGGTCATGGGCCAAAAACACCTAAAAAAGACGTCTTAAAGACGTTTATATTAGTGGAAAATGTACGTTTTAAAGACGTCTTAAAGACGTCTCTTGGGCGTAATATGAACGTCTTTAAGACGTACATATGTCCCGACATGAACGTCTTAAAGACGACTTCAAGACGTACTTTGGCTGATTGGGATCAGCTCTCTGAACTGAATCTTCCAGATTCTTCCACCCCAAATGAATAAAAGACACTTTTTCTCGACTCGGACTCGAATTTATGTAAAAATATACGCATACGAGTTCACAACTCCAATACTCATAAAACATTATTCATGTCATTCGATATAAAACCCATTTCGTGATCAATTTTCATGAAATGCCAATTTACTAGTATATCATTGCCAGTCAATCAGATTTTTTATCGTTCTGGATTAAGTGTTATACAAATCATTGTTAGATAACATTTTCCAGGTTTCACAAATTGGGATAGAATTGGACTTTATTTCATCAATCTTGGATAAAAAAAGCTCTAAATCGCAGTTTAATGCGATGCCGTTAAAATATGGAAATATAAAAATTTTATAGATCCATTAAAATATGCTCTGAAAATAAAACGATATCACACTGGCAGAATTGCAGGTGTGTGAGAATATGGATACCAATGAATTTTCATTAGCTACGAATCGCTATTTTAAAGCATTTATATGTAAATTGTGGGATTATGGCTAAATGATATCTTCCGCTATTTGAACTTATTCAACAGTATATAAGGAGAGATTGAAACAAGAGTGATATTGTAGAACTAGTCGAATTTATTCCATAAACTGATTGCATTACATTGATTTGCCCATGAATATATAATAGCATTCGATGCAATCATTCTTTATTTCTAAATAACACAATCACTTGGTTTGATAATACAAATCACAAGAGTAACATAATTCTCTACAACCAATGAGAGCAAGAGTTCGAACCCACCGAAGGAGTGTACTGATATATACACAATATATAAATGAGAATTATATAATATGAGAAGATGCAGAATTCAATGAGTTTCAATAATTCAGGAGGGGTGAAGAACTTACAGTCACAACTCCACCACATAAACAAATTAATATTATTATTATTATTATGATTTGGATGCATGTGATTCCAGTCACGACCCTGCGGCCTCCGACGCCACGCAGAGTCGTGCTGGATAAAATCCAGTGACTACTCCCCACAGCCTGTGAGGTGAATAATCACTGGGACCGAGAACCGTGTGTGTCCTGAGTAAACGCAATGATCCAAGTATGACGGCCTTCTGCATTCCACCAGCCAGGATGTGTGCTTTATCGCTGCACGCTGGGATTTTCTGGATTTCCGAGAGCAGCGTATGTCGTGTGCCTCCTAGGAAGCCGATTATCAGGATGACCAATTCCAC